GATGGGGAAGTGAATGTGGTGTTAGGGGTTTGGGTAGGCTCCAGGGAGGGGGTGGGCAGGGAGCCCTGCAGCGATGGCTGGGAGGGGGGCACCTTGCAGTGAGGCCCAGGAGACCCACAACCATTCTGGTGTGAGTTATGAAAGAGGGGAGGTGCTTTTACGTGGTGGGGGGTGGGATGCGCTGCCACCAACATCACCCATTCCCAAGGCTCTTGCATTGCCAAGGGGCCTCGCACCACCACGCTGGAGCCGTGCCCCAGCCGGGACCGGCAGCAACAACGAGTGCTGCAGGGAACCAGCGGCAGCAGCGGGGCCCCCCTGCTCCCCATGGCGGGTGGGTTGGTGCCCAACAGATGGTTGGTGCCCAGTCCAGATCCCACCGGCTGCTTCCCAACTCCCCTCTCGCATACTGCTGAGCTGGGAGGAATCAGCTGCCCGCACGCAGCTCTCGCCCATGAACATCTCACATAAACCAAAACAGGCCTGAAGCGGCCCTGGCGCTGGAAACAGCAGAGCCGCAACAGAAGACAATTTGGTACCAAGGGCCTCAAACGCTAACTAGAAAAGGAGAAGCTAAACGGACACAGAAGGTGGCCAGCACCCAGTGTTTCTGTGGCAACAGAAACCCCAAACCCCAGAGCTGGAGCCGAGCCCCTTCAATTTTGGGAGCTGGCGCATTGCCAGCGCTCATCCACAGCTACCCCAGCCCCCAGCCGCCCTGGTGCAGGAGGGGTTGCAGAGCCCGCTCACGAAAGGCCAGGCTGGGATTTGCTATGTTTAACCAGCGTTTCTCCAAGTATAGCCAGTTGCATTTTTTCAGCTTTAGCTCAGCAGCTGCGAGGGTGTGAGGCTACGGGAAGGCAGGCTGGGGGGCTCCTAGCATTCCTCCCGCCTAAACGGTCGCCACAAATAGCTCGCTCTCAGCCCAAGGCTATTTCTGACAGCGATGGGGAAGAGACTCTTCAAGGCTGGAGCAATGGAAAATATGTGACCCTCCCTAGATGGTGGGAAAGCAGCAGGCAGAAGCTGGTGGCTACCCAGTCGCTGCTCACTGCCGAGACCTCACCCAGCTCTGCTCGTCCTACCGCAGCTCTGAGACGGTGCTGTGGCAGGAAAGCCGTGAGAGCAAGGGCAGAGCCTCCTCCGCAGGCTGGCACGGGGGCCAGAGCCGCAGCTCTGTTTTCAAGCAGCACCTCTGGTGCTCCCACAGCCTCATGCCACCAGCGGCCTGGCTGTCCCTGCAACGCCCCGAGCGAAAGTCAGCATGAGCCGCGGCAGCTGCAAGGCCGTAGCTGCATAGACAACAACCCACACTAGCCCCGGCCAACGAGGTGTTCCCCTCCAGCAGGCCAGCCTTGGGCCCACCAGGCTAAGGGGATCCTTGGAGGGCAGCAGGACCTCAGCAGTACATCAGGGTACAGAGCACCCTGCCAGAATTTAAGCCCCTGCACTTACAAGAGGTCACTGAGACAGCAGTGCACCCAACACACCCAGGGAGCCCTTTACTTGCGGATCCAGAGGCGCTGGGGGAGGTCCGTCCTCGCAGGAGCACCGTCTCACGCGTCCTCGCTGCGGCCGGGCGGCTTCAGGAACGCTGCGGGGAAGAGAAGCCCCCCTGGCGGAGTGGTGTCACCTCCGGACGCTGCCCCTGCGTGCCCCTGTGGCCACGCTCTCGCAGAGGCTGGGCCCGCCGTTTGGCCGTTTTGTCCTCCTGCCCCATGCGGGAGCTGCCCCGCAGCACGGCCTCGCTGCACAGAGGGTAGAGAGGAGTAGAAAATACGTGGCCAGATAAAGGCCAACGAGAAACAAAAGAGTAAGGTGTCATTCTCTGCTGGTGGCTCAGATATAATAAATCCCTTTCCTCTAATTTTCAGGGCTGTTTTGGAAAAGGCTGGTATTTGTAGTAGTCGCAATCAAGACCAAAACCTGCCTCCGCAGGGGCTCCACCCCCGGGGAAAGCCCCTGTCCCCTGGAGCCCGGTGGCAGGCTGGGACCCTCCACGGAGTTTGGTGCGTTTGGCATCACCACGTGTCCGCTGTGAGGGCAGCGGAGCCACCGGCGGGGACTGGGCAGCCCAGCAGCTCGTTCGCAGGGCGACGCTTTTGGTCCGTGTTGGTGTCAGGAGGCCCCGGGCTGCCGACACCATTTCCTGCTCAGCTCCGGCGTCTCACACCCACCTCTCCGGTAGCCCCCGGCCCTCCTGCCTTGCTACTCTTTCCAGATGCTCTTCACAGTCCGGAGCCAGCCCTGAAGCCTCCATTCATGTTACTTTCACTTGTAATAACCTGCTTGCGTACCCCATCGGCTGGGGATGCAGGGGAACAGGCAAGCTCGCTACACGAGTGGCTCCCATCGCCCGGAGCAGCCGGCGGCCCCCCGCCCCGCC